TGGAAGAATAAAGTTAACTTTTCAAAAGCCTCTTATTAGCAGGTAGTGGCAAGAGATTTAACTATCAAATAGGCTAACGAGAAAAGACGAAATGTGAGAATTTTTATCTATCCATTGAAACTGAGTAACTATACTTTGTTATTAAAGGAGAAGGAATGTGAAATCAAGAGTCATGTTTCAAACTAAAACATCCAATACTTTTTGAAAAGGGATTCTTGACAGTTATCAGTAAAAAGAAGAGATAGATGTGTTGTAATCCTTACAGTAACAGCTGCCCACATGTGCTCAAGCTTATGCTCTTCAATGTCCATCCATGAGTGTACCCGGAGTGGACACATATTACGATCATGAACTATCAAACCCAAGTGTCTCGTAAATGAGGTGTGATTCTTCCCGACGACTTGATTTTGATAGAAAATGACTTTTAATTTTTCTCCAGGTCTCAGTCGCAAAAACATTCTTACAAATATTTGTTCCCCTCACATTCTTTGCCCTTTCTGTTTCACATGGACCTGCAAAATCTATAGTAAGGAAAACCAAACAAGAAGTTCAATCCCACTGTAGCACAAAGTGAAGAATGAGACAACTGGAACATACTTGAATATAAATGACTGGGATAAGGAGAGTTCTATAGAATTTGTGGTCTCCTAACTTCTTTTAAAGATCTTATTAACAATGAGGATAGCTTGAAATGGAAGGGGAAACAATTTTGGTCTTTTCACAGTGAAGTCTTGTTACTCTTAGATTCTCAAGGCCTATGGAAGCGAAGCAAGATAATGCTTTAGCTGCTTTATAGGTAACAATGCAGAAACTATTAGAAAATACATAGAAGACAATACATACTAGTTTCAATTCCCTCTGCATCTTGTACCACTTCAACCACTTTTTTTGCTTTTCTAGATTCAAACAAACCTGCAAAACTAACTGTAAGTCAAAATGCCCAAGAAATCAATTCAGCTTACTAAAAAAAGTTACACAAATAAAATAAAATAAAATAGTAGTATCACTTCTTTGATCTTGCCGAGACACTTCAGTCACTTTTTTAGCCTTGTCAAATTCAAACAGACCTGTAAATTTTGATGCAAGTCAATTGAAATAAGAAGTTCACTCCCATTACTAACAAGAAGGATACAAAGGAAATTAAATAAAGCAAATAAAAGCAGTGGTGTAGGTGAAATAGCCCATAACAATAGTGACATAATCTCAAAGGAAAAATGCACAACATAGAATCACAAGGAAGTAGTAGTCAATGAAAAGAAGAATAAATTGAATAGCACTCAGGATAATAATACTGACAATAGTCGCAACAAAAAACTGGTATAATTCAAACAAGCTTCTAACTTAGCAGAGATGTTCCTACTACAGAGAAGTCAGGCAAACTGGATCAGGCTTGGAGATGCAAACACAAGGTATTTTTACCCAGTTATTAAACAGACACAATTGAAGCAAGCTATTGAACAACAACTGGAAATATTGAAACTTCTTAATGCAAAGGATGTTAGGAAAGTTGTGTGTAGTATTGATAAGAAAAGCAATCCTAGTCCTGATGGCTATGGTAGTGATTTCTACAGAGAAGCTTGGGATATCATGGGAAAGATGTTGCTAAAGAACTGTTGGATTTCTTCCGGAATGGTCAGTTACTAAAACGGATAAATGTTATTAATATTACCCTTATCTCGAATGTCCTTGTTCCTGAAAATGCTAGTCAGTGCAGACCTATCTCGTGTTGTATTGTGATATATAAAGTCAAACTGATTTGTCAAAAACTAAAATATGTTGTAAGTTACTTGGTAGCGGAGAATCAATCAACTTTTGTTCAATGGAGATCTACGGTCCACAATGTCTTAATATATCATGACTTATGAAGGCATTACAATAGGAAAACCAGTCTCAGATGTTTGATGAAGATTGATCTCCAAAAAGCATATGACATGCTGAGTTAGAAATTTTCGAGGAAGCTATACTTGGTTATGGGTTTCCAGATGGCTTTGTGAAGTTGATTATGATATGTAACACCTCCCATGTATTTTGTTATGGTGAATGGGGTAGAAAATGGTTATTCGAGGAAAAACGAGGAATACGAGAAGGGGACCCCATGTCTCCCCTGCTATTTATATTGGTTATGGAGTTCTTAACTACGGTCTTGAAGATTATGAGGGGCTTACCAGACTTCAGATTTCATCCAATGTGTAAAAAGTTAAGCTTACAATATGTTTATTGCAGGAACACTGCTTATGGAACTCCTTCTAATTTAAATATTATGGGTTTCACAATGGATACTTTTCCTATAAGATATTTGGGCCTACCACTTTCCTCTAAGAAATGACGCAAACTGGAGCCATCAATTAACTTGAAAATTAACTCAAATGATCAAGAATGACTATGGAAAGATGCTATCATATGCTAACATATCTATTGCAGATGGAAGCAAGGCAAGATAATTTTTTGACTGCTTTACAAGTAACAACAAGAAAATATTACATAAAAGAAAATACATACTAGTTTCAGTTTCCTTAGCACCTTGAGCCACTTCAAACACTTTTTTTGCTTTTCTAGATTCAAACGGACCTGCAAATTTAAGTGCAAGTTATAAAAACTAACAATTCAATTCAACTAACAAAAAAAGTTGCACAAATAAAATAAAATTCTAGTATCACTTTTTTGAGCAGATCGAGGCACTCCAATCACTTTTTTTTACTTATCAAATTCAAATTCACCTGCAAATTTTGATGAAAGTCAACCAAAATAAGAAGTTCATGCCCATTATTAATAACAGAAAGAATACAAAAAAGATTAAGTAAAGAAAGCTAAGCAAAATTTCTTGATCAAATATATTAACTGGACTAACTCTTTTTCAAATTATCACTTCTTTGAGCATCTCGAGTAACTTCTGCTTCTTGAAAGAGGGTGTCATCGTCTTCCATTGGATAAAAATTAGGAGGCACAGGGATACTAGTCTTTGCTGACTTATTTCAACTAGAAGTTGTTGTAGTACTTCTATTTTTGTCAATCAAAGTCGATTTTTCAACATTAATCCCTAAGGTTTGTCCTCGAGCCGTTGCACCACTAGTCAAAGTGTATTGATTCATTTCAGCTCCTTGATGGAAGGGAGCATTGTCTTCCTTTTCATCAAAACAAGGATGCACATGGAAACTATTGTCTGCTAGCTTATTCAACTTAGAAGTTGTGGCATTGTAACTTCTATTTTTGGAAATCGAAGTCCTTTGTTCAGCATTAACTCTTGTAGTGCTCATAACTTTCAAACTTTGACCTAGTCCCTTTGCTAAGGCACCAGGCTGAATGAGTCCATGCTTGGGAATTTTTGAAGCTTGTCCCATTTCATACTTCAGAGTTTTTAAGGGATTCATGTCAACCTAATACAAAATAATAATAATAATAATAATAATCAAAAGATCAAATAGGTAAGGAAGTTTTTCATAAGATGAAATATGAACTGAAAATGCATTTAGAAACAGGCACATGTACATGTAACACAGGTTCCTCGCATGAACCATTACTACTTTAGTAAAATCAAGGTAACATTAAAGACCAAGATCATTAAACAAATTTTCACAGAAAATACTACAAGAATCATTACCATAAGAAATTAATAAAGTAAAAGCAAGCATGATAAAGCTGCAAACCTTAATGAGTTCTTTTTCTTTTCATTTGTGTAGAGTTATCTAACTCTTCTAAGCCATCATCCTTTTTTTCCAATATATCAAAAGAACCACGAGGTTGAACATTTTGCACTATATGCCAACCTTTATTCGAATGATCGATAACATAAAATACTTGTGATGCTTGGCTGGCTAATACAAATGGCTCATTTATTTTCAAATATCGCCGACGATTAACACTTACAAAGCCATATTCATCCATTTTAACTCCCTTCTTCTGATCATACACATCGAACCATGTACATCAGAATAAAATCACTCTTCTCTCCCCAACAATTGTATTCAAGAACCTCGGTTAACTCGCCATAGTAATTCATATGTTTTTTCTCTTCACCGGTCTCACCTACTACAACTACCCCACAATTCTGAGTTTTCAAATATTTATCATACTCTTGCACATGAAACCTATATCCATTAACAATATGGCCTTTGAATCTTGTCACATATGGTAGAGGACCACGTGATAACGATAGCAAATCTGCCATTCTCTTACTATCATCATGTTTGTACAACTCTGCAACCTAACAACATCAAATACCCTTTTAGAAAACAATATTTACATACTTGATTTAAGAAAATTGATTAATTTCTACTCACCTTCTTTTGTAACCAACTAATGAATTGTCTATTCCACTCCACATCTGAACTTTGTTGAGAGGCCTCATTATGAATTTGTGAAAATTCTCTACAATGAATTAAAGTTCTACATGTTATTTTAAGTTGAAATATGGACAAGATAGAAGTAAATTATTAGATTTAATCAATACTTACTCGAGAAATGGTTGAATTTCATCATAGTTCTTCAAAATATAAAAAATGTGCCCTCCTCCAAAATCATGTGAATCAAGTTTGTCTGATGAACTACCCTTTAAACTTTTTCCAGGCTCACAAAATATGGTTAAACCACCATCAGATTCAATTACCCCACCATCATAATTTCTCTCCGGACAATTAAACTTTGTCTTTATTGTATTCAAATACCTTGAACATAATGTCATACATTCAACTGCTAAATATCCCTCTACAATAGAACCTTCAGGGTGAGCCATATTACCAATAAAACACTTCAAAAAGTGTAGGTATCTCTCTATTGGATACATCCATCGATATTGAACTGGTCCAGCAATCCTAGCTTCATTAGGTAAATGAATAGACAAGTGTACCATGACATCAAAAAAAGTAGGAGGGAACACCTTTTCTAACTTGTATAGTGTTTTTGATATTTGGGCTTCTATTTGTTCCAACTCCTCTATGCTCAAACATTTTGCTCCAAGAACTTTGAAAAAAATAGACAACTCAATAAGTGGTCCAGACACAGATTTGCAAAGCATACCACGCATGGCAAGTGGGAGTAAATGTTATAGAATTATATGACAATCATGGCTTTTTAATCCCAAAATTTTTTTACCCTTAAGGTTGACACATTGAGAAATATTTGAGGAAAATCCATCTGGGACCTTTAAATTCTTCAAAAAATTGAAATTTTTTTGCTTCTCTTCAACAGATAATGTGTAAGATGCTGCCGGCAACTCATATTCATCTCCATTTTGTATTGGATGCAATTCTTTCCGTATATTCATTTCTTGTAAATCCAACCGAGTACTCAATGTGTCTTTTGTTTTCCCTTTGATATCTAAAATTGTCCCCAAAATATTGTCACATATATTCTTCTCAATGTGCATCACATCAAGATTATGTCGCAACAATAAGGTTTTCCAATATGGAAGATCAAAAAATATACTCTTCTTATGCAAAGCCAATGGGGCAAATTATAAGGAACAAGTACCACAGGCCAAATGCTGTAGGGAGTTCTCGACATTCCAAATGATTGGAAACCATCACTAGCAAGTCCAAGTCGTACATTACGAGGTTCAGCTGCAAAAGATGGGTGGAGTTCATCAAATTTTTTCCATGCCATTGAATCAGCTGGATGCCTCATTATTCCATCATCAACTCTTTTGTCATAATGCCATGACATCAAAGGAGATGTCTTTGAGCACATAAATAATCTTTGAAGTCTTGGCTTTAGAGGAAAATAACGTAAAATCTTGCATGGTATCTTTTTTCCTTTTTTCAATTTTGTTTCCCCACTATGTTTAGCATCCTTCCATCTAGATGCACCACAAACTTTGCACGATTGAAGACAATTATCATCCTTCCAATACAACATGCAATCATTCTTACATGCATCAATCTTCTTACAAGAAAGCCCAAGATCTCGAATTACCTTCTTTGCCTCATAATATGAATTCGGCAAGTTTGTTCCATCAAGCAATAAATCATCTTTCAAAAACTTTAATAGCATCATAAATAACTCATTACTCCAATGACCAATACTTTTAAGGTGAAGCAATTTAATCAAAGTAGAAAGTTTAGAAACTTTTGCACTTTCATATAATGGTAGATCAAGATCTTTCAATAACCTATAAAATATTTTTGCTTCAGCATTTGGTTCCTCCTCCCGAAGATCATCACCAGTACTATTATTCATATTATCTCCATAAAAATCGGGGTACAAATCTCTTAGCAACCCATGTATTTCATCCTCACCGTCATCCTCTTCAATGTCATTATCATCTATAAATTCAAAATCTGATTGTGCTTCACCTAACATCTCCCCATGGTGATACCAAAAAGTATAACTTGGTATTATCCCATGTACTATTAAATGTGACCTAACTACAACA